TTGTGACCGAGGTAATCTATGCAGGAATGTGTTTTTCAATAGACATATAAAAAATGATGATGAAAGGTGTTTAGCCTAAAACCAAAAAGATTTGATAAAAATTGCTCAACAGATGGAAAAATCTCAATTTCTTCGACTGCGTTATTTTTATGAGTACCTGATTTCTCCGCGATGCCTCACGACTCACATTTACAATCAGCTCCTGACGTCCAACCACAGGCTCACGCCCGACGGTCTTGCCACAGCCCTCAATGTGCCGTATGCTATTTTTAGCAAGGAACAGAGCTACTTTCACGAGATCCGCTGGGCAGCGGTAGAGAGAGTCTGTCTTCCCATGCTGCATCTGTCGCCGCGTGTAACTGTGATTGAGTTTTTCTCCAGTCACATTCACGAGCTGATAAACAACATCGACTGCAAGCTCAACAAGGTAATTGCTTCACTTTTACTGTTTCATCCTTTTAACTCTTTAACCCTGGAATCATTTTTCACTTTTTAAAGGAATTTTTTAAAGATTTTGTGCAACATTTCACATATTTGTGGTCACTTTGCCACAATAATGTGACGGTGAAAATGATCCATTCTGGTCACTTGACACATTTGTGTGACAGGCCTGAGAAGTCTGTTGCAGTCACTGTCCTAGCTGGGTGACCAGATGGGGTATTTTGTACTGCTGGCTGTGTGGCTGCAAAGTGTTAATGGGGGATACAGACAAGCAAAATATTCCTAAATTGGCTGATGAAACTGTCAACCAACACTTCCGAGTCAACATAAATCTATTCAAATTCGTGAAAGATTGCGTTGGCATTTGCACTCCGCGATCTGACTGGATGCTGGGACAGTCCATTCGAGGACCGGACGAGTTTCACTGGAGGCTCCCATCGTTCATTCACCCTATCCGTACTTCGTGTTTTACTATCGTATCCATACAACGTGGGGAAGTCTGTGCCACCACTTTCCAAAGAGGAAATTTACTCATTAATCCGATCGGTACGCTTTGCATAGCAGTCTGTCGAAATGATATTTGAGAAATACTGAAAGTTTGAAAGAGTTCGTCGTACTTGAAGTATTCTAAAATGTAAAGAATGCAACCCTGGGGGTACAAAATGTCCCCAGGGCGTACGGATTGGGTTAATGCTCCAAACGTTGCACACTCCTCTCTGCCAGAAGTGGTCTCATTGGCCCCAGTAGGAGCCACAAATTATCTGATTCTAATTCCTTATTTCTTCTCTCTATGTTTTTTGCTGGTGGTTGGCAGGTGCTCTGGTGTGGTTTGCTCCTTTTTCCTATCAAACATCTGTTGTCCTTATCTCTCTCCCCTCCTTCTTTTTTATGTTTGTTGCTCTCTTGTAACACCTCTAATCTTTGGCTCTTATATGACCTATTGCTAGTGTTGTAAAAATCTTACCGCAACTAAACCTAAAACTTATCTTTTTTTTAGATGGGAGGCAGCGTGGTGGAATCAGGCACTCGTCAATTTTTGGGCATGTAGAGTTATTGGTATCTTCTTAAAGCTTGCTCACTTGTCTTTATGTGGATGAAAAAAATATCCATTTATCTTGAATACAAGTCGAGATATTTGCGAAAGAAGGAGGTCACCTGTTTTCAGAGGTAAAATTAGTGAGAAAATGGCCACCAAAATTAGTTATTTCCTTAGCTTAAGAGTCCGTGGTAACTGAAAATTTACATTTTTGTGCCTTTAATCAACACCTTTCAGAAAAATCCACACTGAAATGAGTTCTTTAACAGGCATGAAGGGTGTTGAGCCAAATAACAAAAATTTGATAAAAATTCACAAACCTGCAGAAAAATGCAAGTTTCTTCACTTTGATTATTTTGACGAGAGCCTGATTCCACCACGCTGCCTCACATATGTGAGGCATGGAGGCTGGTGGTGAAACCAGGCGCTCATCAAAATAATGAAATCAAAGAAATTGTCATTTTTCTGTCCATTTGGCAATTAATATCGAATTTTTGTTTTGTGACTCAACACTTTTAAGGTGCATTTACATACACTTTATGTGTGGATTTCACTAAAAAATGTTGATTTAAGACTCACAAATATAAATTTGCAGTTTCTAAGGACTCTCAAGCTTTAGAAGTTCCCAAATTTTGGTGGCCATTTTCTCGCTTATTTTATCTTTGAAACCAAGCGAACCCCCGCCTCTTTCTATCACAAATATCTTGGCTTCTATTAATGGTAGATGAGTATTTTTTTCATCAAGAGCAAGACAAATGAACAAGCTTTATAATGATACCAATAACTCCACATGTTAAAAAATTGAAAACCGCCAGATTCTGCCGTGTCCTGACACATATCTGCCTTATAACTTATTTTTTTGTTCTTGTCTTCCCCCGCCCCTCTCTCCTCCCCCTCCTCCCCCCCCTCCCCCCCCCCCTCCTCCCCTCCTCCTTCCTCCCCTGGAGCAGAGCTCTGAGAGTGTGTTTGCCCATCAGCTGACCACCAAGTCTGGGAGCTTTCAGCTGCTGGAGGTCATGTATTCTAGCCTGAGCAAGGACGACGTCAACTCCAAAACCTCAGCCGTCAACCTGAGGTTCTGCCATGGCAAGGTGGACACGGGCAAGGAGATGACCCAGAGGATCACCAAGTGAGTGGATGGAGGCTGCTCTGCTGTGGTCTGCTCCTTTTTCTTTCCGACCATCACTCAAACAAACGTCCACCGCCCTCATTTGTCCTCTTTCTTTGCTTTGAGACATCCGTCATTCTCATCTATCCTCCGTTCTTTCCTTTCAGACATCCACCATCCTCATCCGTCCTCCTTCTTTTCTTTCAAACATTCATCATCCTCATTTGTCCTTCTTCTTTCCTTTCAGATGTTCGTTGCCCTCATTTGTCCTCCTTTCCGTTCAGACATCCGCCATCCTCATCTGTCCTCCTTCTTTTCTTTCAAACATGTATCGTCCTCATCTGGAACTAAATTTTTCACCAATGCGATATTTTTGGCCTTTTCACCGCGTTGCTCAATTATAGCTTTGCCGACAAACTGAGACATTTCTCCAGGCACACACACATTTATGTTCTATTTTTCTCCCCCCACATCAAGGGCGGCTCAGGAGGCGAAGGGTGAGGACTGTCGCGGTGAGTCGCTGCTCGTTGAGCTCCGCAGGCAGTACCACTGTCACGCATACAACCTGCTCATGGCAATCATCTCCTGTGTACAGACAGACATCAAGTTCTACAAAGGTTTCCTCTTCCAAGACAATGTGCCCAAGGTTAGTCGAGTGGGAGACGAGTCTCTTTCTCTCTCTGTCTCTCTCTGTCTCTCTCTCTCTCTCTCTCTCTCTCTCTCTCTCTCTCTCTCTCTCTCTCTCTCTCTCTCTCTCGCTGTCTATCTATCTCTCTCTCTCTCTTTCTCTCTCTGTCTCTGTCTGTCTGTCTCTCTCTCTCTTTCTATTTTTCTCGCTTTCTGTCTCTCTTTCTCGCTCTCTCTCTCTCTGTCTCTGTCTCTGTCTGTCTCTCTCTCTCTTGTTCTCTCTCTCTCGCTCTCTTTCTCTGTCTCTGTCTCTCTGTCTCTCTGTCTCTCTCTGTCTCTCTCTCTCTCTCTCTCTGTCTCTCTCTCTCTCTCTCTCTCTCTCGCTCTCTCTCTTTCTCTCTCTCTCTCTCTCTCTCTCTCTCTCTCTCTCTCTCTCTCTCTCTCTCTCTCTCTCTTCTGGCGCTGTGGCGTCATAAGCGGTCAACTATGCTGACAGCATGCAGGAACTCAACACTTGTTCGGGGGTCCCTTAAAAAGTGCTGAAAGCGGGTCACTGAAATGTCCCGGCACATGTGTTAAGGAGACAAGTGAAGACAGCAGGGGAAAAAGATACTGATTGAAGTTCGTATTTTCAGGTTCAGGGAAAATATTTCTATTTAGGGTAAGTGTTTTACAGAAGCTCGCAACTGCATAAGGTTATATGAGCTCGCAGAGGGAAAATATGTAATGTAATCATAGGGTTTTGATTCTTTTGAAATTTTTAACCCCAACTATTCTGACTTTACAAAGTAAAACCAAACTTATTTGTGAACTAATGTGAAAAGCGACCAACTTGAATCCCGCACTCTCATATGACCTTATGTGGTTGCAAGCGCTGTAAAACTCTTGCCAAACTGAAACTGATAGTTTTGGAAGGTGGTCTCGACTATAAATGTGAAAGTTTTAAAGTTTGCACTGTCACTCTGGATAAAAAAATATTTTCTGTGTCCTTTTCTTGAATTGATTTTCTATAGATTGTGTGCCTACTATCTTGTCAGTATGTTAGTGTTTTAGCACCTGAAACATGGCAGCTTGCACTGTGTGCTTCCCAGGAACTCAGAATTATGTCAAGTTTGCTGGGATGATAATACAGATTGTAAATGCTTGGAGGGGGAATTTGAGCTATGCAAATTGTATTTTCGATTATTTATGAACACTGCCCCGTGATAATGATCTGTACTCTTTGTTTGTTTGTTTCTTTCTTTCCCAGGGCCAGTTCCTTCTGGATAACATCATAGACATGGACTTTGCCCACAGCTTCGACATTGAGCTTGATGTGAGTCCCATCTGTTCCTAAAGAAATATTATCAATTTTTGTTTTATGTGCGTCAATGAAAAAACATTGAAAGCTTGGATTTACTTGGATTTACTTGGATCCAGAGCTAGAATCATAGCAGGCGGCACATGTCCATAGCTGCTCATCTCTCCTTTCCAGCATCCACCTCAGGGTCTTCCTGCTAATTGTCTCCATGAGGAGCTGGTTTGAGACACGCCTGACCACTCAAAGCTTATTTATTCTTTCCCTGTTCCTTTGTTAATCGCAACTAATTATTTATACTTTTCTAAATTGTTTTGTTTTTCCTCGAGAAGATGTTTAATTGCTTTTGATTTGATAGTGTGAATTGTTTGCAGTATAAATTGATACATATAAATTCTCGTATACAATCGATCTGTTATGTTACTTTTTCCAAACAGAAATCTTGAGGTCCATAATGAGCAAAATTTGACAGTTGATTAATTGTAAAGGCACCTTTCTATTTTTAGATGCTGTTTTAGCCGAGGAAATCAGGAATTGCCCTGCCAGGCTGTGTTTTTTACTCGGCGTTAAAATAATTGCCTTTTCTGTCTCTGAATTCTCAGTCCCCTCTTGAGAGAAGAAAGAAGTTTGTGTCGATTCGCAGCGAGGCGCAGGAGCAGAAGAGGGGGGCGGGTGGTGGTGCTGGCAGTTCGGGCAACTCGTCTGCCACGCCATCACTTCACCTGGCGTCGCAGTACCTGGCCGACAGCAGCCTGACGGACGATCTCAACCAGTACGACTTCAACATCTCCAGCTCTGCTCAGGTGAGAAGGTTGAAGTGCGCACACCCATACACACACGCACGCACGTACGCACACACACACGCATAACAGCCTCACTGATGACCTTAATTAGTACGACTTCAACATCTC